AGCACATTTTCGAGAGTGGAAGAAAAAGTGGTATTTTTCGAAAAAAATTTTAGACAAATGGCATTTTTGGCAAAAATCCCTATATTTTTTGTTTGTTACTCTACTAATTACGCAAATAATAATTTGACATTTCAAATAAATTGAAATAAATAACATTTGCATTAGTTTTAATATTTTATGCAAAATTGATCAAAGCATATGACATTGAAATATGTTTAATAAAAAATTAATTTTATTACATTTATGCACAATACATATCATTTTGTACGTTTATAAATATTAGAATACACATCTAAATATTAAAATCGATTAGAAAATATATTTCAATATTTAAACCCACTCTTGGCATGGATCAAAATCTAGTGTATTGATATTGTTGAAAAACTCTTACGACTTACCTTAACTAAATACTTGTATGAATTATAGATTGCAGATAATGTGGATAGTAACCTATCTACACACTATTTCTACATTTAGACAAATCCGTTATTATCCATTTGATACGTCTATAGGTTTTCACCAACAAATTTGACGCTTTTGCCTTCTCCCCTCTTGCGTTCGAAGGATTTTGGTGCGTATGTCCAGCTCCAATCGAAGAAATATACATTTAAATATATTTTTTCCCCGTTACTTTTCCTGGTTTTTCTCACCGGATACAACAAAAAAAAAACATCCTTTCTTTATTTCTTTAGGAAATTTAGCGAACCCATTCATCTCAAATAATTCTGACAAACAAAAACAAAGAAAGTGGTAATATTGTTACCCCCGAAAAAAAAAATTATAGTGAATGATTATCTTGATTTGTGAATATATTGTTGTTATTTGTTAATTACTGAAATCAAAAATTGCAAAAAAAAAACAAATGTACGGGGATGGGCCGGTGTTTAAGGCGGAGGGAGCGTCATTCCGGGATCAACCGTACGCCGGACAACTTCCTCAAGGACTATGGACGACCGGTCTTTGCGATTGTCACGAAGATGGTCACATTTGTACGTTCCTTTCTCATAAATTATATCCATCTCTATTAAAAAAAAAAACTAATATATATGTTCTTGTTTTGATTGTTCTTGGATCTTCTTGGCTCAAAATGTGTTTTGTTCATTGAATCCTAAAAGGTGTTCAAACAGCTATAATGCCATGCGTTTCCTTTGCTCAAAACAGCGAGATCGTAAACAGAGGAGCCATTCGTAAGAAGCCCATAATAATTTACATTTTTATAGATATGAATCTGATTTGCATGTTTTTGTTAAAAGATTTTGAAAAAACGTATTGGATTTGGGATTGCAGCTTGTATGAACGCAGGTGTGATTCATCTAGCGTTAGGTTTTGTGGGTTGTTGTTGGCTTTACGCGTTCCCAAGCCGGTCTAGGCTTAGGGAACATTTCGCATTGCCTGAGGAACCATGTCGTGACTTTTGGGTCCATCTCTTTTGCACACCGTGTGCTATCTGCCAAGAGTCTAGAGAGCTCAAGAACCGCGGCGCTGATCCTTCTATCGGTATGTAATCTAATTTTTATAGAACCAATAAGAGATTTAGGTTTCGACAAGATTCACAAAATATGTTTACTTGTTTTGTTCGGTGTTTTTTTTTCAGGTTGGCATTCGAATGTAGAGAAATGGAGCAGAGAAAAAGTTACTCCTCCCATAGTTGTACCAGGCATGATTCGTTGAGCGGCAGTTTATCTTCGACGTTGTAACTTTTATGTTAGATCTTGTAAGCTTATGTGTTCTTTCTCGGTTTAGCTAGTAGGGAAAGTAAAATACAAAACGATGATTGATTCTAAATTGTTCACTACGGACTAAACAAGTCTATAACAGATTATCTAAAAGGCTAAAGAGGAGAGAGCTATGGTCTTTTTAGTTAAAATATGTGAATGTGAAATTCTAAGACCAGAACTATGCTTTCCTTTGGTCATGACAGGCTTAGTTAGTCCCTAGGTCGGGCTAACCATAGGGAGCTAAGTGCTCTAAGCCGAAAAATATAGTCGTGGATGACCAAAAACGCACGAGCAGCTTGTCGTGTGGTGAGAATTCTGTGAAGCTGTTGCAGAGTTTGTTGCCTCAATAGATCTGCCTGCAAAGTTATAATAAACCTTTCAGGTTTTGTTTATTTGTATTGTCAATTGTTGTTGTCATTTTTTGTTTTTACCTGACGAAGGAAGTTTTCGAGAGTGCCAAGTTTCCCCATGGCCATTGCCATATGACCCATATAGTCTGCAACATTTGCTGAAGAATTTGGACCCATTGAAGCAGAGGAAAGCGTCTCGAGAAGCGATTGTTGCAAAGCTTCCATGCCTTGTGACAATGCATCTTCTGCTTGCTGAGACGACTGTTGAAGATTGCAAATGCCTATCAACTGCTGATCCGTCAACGGATCCACATGGTTCCCCAATATCTAAAAAACCGATTACGAAAAAGAAGATCAAAACATATGATTTGAAAAAAAATGATTCAACCTTTCCTTTACCTTTAGTAACTCAGATGATCTGAATCCACCCAACCACATAAAGAATCTCTCAGCAGGCGTCTTCCACATGCCTGAGAGCATGTGAAAGACGTCGACTTTAGTACCAATTCCCTTTAGCCTGAATATCTCATCATAGTGACTCATCACAGCATCCACTAGCATGCGTAGCTCGTTGTCACCTAACTGCGAATTCACACCCGCTCTTAAATCGTTGATCAGCCTTTGATGTTCATCCATCCAACGAGCATATTCCAATTCAAATGAAAAGGCACCTGCAACAACAAAAACCAACTTCATCTTTAGCAAGATCACTTCATACAAACCATAGAGCCCAAAAGTGTTATGTGGAATGGTGAAAGTCTCACCATTTCCAGCAGCTAAATGAGTGTGATCCCCTGAAACACCGTTTTCAGCCGAACATCCCTAAGAATACAAGAGAAACCCGTTACTACAAATTCATATAACTCGAAGTTTTTCTCTCACACAACGCATTTTAAAAAGGACATCAGTCACTTCCAGACCTGTTGGCGAGCTCTTTTGAGCTCTTCCTCTAGCTGTGCTAGCCTGATACGACTGTTCTCAAGTTGCTGAACATATACCTGTTAAACGACAACAATCCAATTCAAAGATGAAGTATATACAAAAATAATGGACGATGAAAAAGTGCGGTTCAATGAATCAAGTAGTATACTTTTTTCCTCAATCGACTTTTCCTAGCAGCCTCCCGGTTCTGAGCTAGTCTTCGAAGCGACTGCCAAGAATTTGAATGTAAAAGTTGATTCACACTTGGAACCAAAACTCAAGAGAGGTTCAAAATCAGAGGATCTACCCTTTGTTCACTATATTTCACCTTTGATTGATCTGAACAATCTGTAGCCAAAACCATCCCTTGATGAGCTCCATTCAGCTAAATAAAACAAAAAGCTAATGTAAACATAAACCCTCAAGTCTTTCCAACCATAACAAACTCAAATATGCAGAGCAATGGAACTGAAAACAAAAAATGAAAGTATTTGGCATTTAAAAGTCATGGGCCATTGGATTCATATTGTATCAACCAAAAAGCATAAAAAACGTTACAAGCAAATTCCATTTTCTTAAGCCAAACATAAAGGAAGAAACTTTACATGAAACTTGTAAAATTTTATTTTTGAAGTCTCATATAAGGCCAATGTTCAACAACCTATCACCCCCATGGGTTAGACCAAAAATCAGACAAACCCCTTATTGAAACGAACAAAAACAAAGATCGAATTCCAAGGTGACAACACATCAATGCGGGAAATGATAAAAAAAAAACCAAAATGGGACAAAACAAAACTCCAAGTGAAGAAACAAAACAGAATCTTTTAATTTTTTTTTCTTAAGTGTGTGACAGTTGATGATTAACGAAGAAGACAAAGGAACAAAACCTGAGTCTTGTCATCAGTATCAATATCTGTGGAAGTGTCAGTAGTATGTTGACTGTTATCAGCCATGGCTGAAACCGAATCACACCAGTTCTCTAAACTGCTGTTCACTTCTCCTACTCCTAACCTTGTCCCCTTTTGGAACACTAATTGCCCTGTGTCCAAACACTCCTCTTCTCTTTCAAGTCTCTCCCTCAAACCACACTCCATAGCCTTAAACAGAGAGTAGTAGACATTGAAAACAAATCAATAAAGGAACCAGTTTTAAGTTTTATATTTTAAACTAAAGAAATGGGTTTGGTTGGTGAATAGGAATCAAAACTTTTACCGTATCAAACGTCGTATAGTGTAAGTTGTTAGAAGCAACAGTGACATCTGCAAGAAGATTGATTCTTTCAACGAAGCTTATTAAGCATATATATACTTGTATAAGTAAAAGAAGAGAGAAAGAAGCTGACTTGGACTTAAACCGACAAGAGTTTGGTCATGGTGAAAACCATTGCTGGGTTGATTATACTCTTCAAGACAACTATCTCCTCTGTTTCAAGACAACAAACAGAGAGAGGAAAAAAAAATTGAAGCTTTTTTGAAAA